ACCACCTAAACACAATCACAACATTTACCTTTACACAAATTCAAACAGTTCATGCAGATAGAAGACAGTCAGAGTGTGATACTTTTACACCTTTGGAGGCAGACGCACTCCTGTGAGATCGGTGCACACCCTGCCTGCCTAACGAACATATAACGTAAGCTGAAGACAAATTTGGCCACAACGATATGAGGGCTAATTTATTTACTAATGGTTTCCAAATTCATTTTAAGCATAACTTTTTAAAAAACCAAAATGTATGCAGCATTTTGTTCTAGGAATTCATTTGCCCTCTCAATGGCTTAGAATCCACTTACCAGACCACGTAGACTGGATTCTTTTGATTATCACTAAAACTTGTAGAAGTAGGCAATCGTTATCTATTTCGATTTCCATCATTAAATAGAATCTCACTCACCTTGCTTGTTCAGCTGCAGTTCTTGTAGCTCGATCACCACAGGCGAGCGGCCAAGATCATTCGAAGAAGCAGAACCATGGTAGGTACTTGTTGACGGTAACGTTGAAGGTAACGGTTTCGAATAATCCGAAATACTCGTTGATGCCGTTGATGCACTGGCGTAACTCGTCAATGAATGGCTGGATGACGTCGCGGAATAACCAGAAGGGCCACGATGAGCTGGTGGTGGAGGTGGAGTCACATCATCATGTTTCGGCTTAGCTGACGGACTCGGTCTGAAATCATGGAGCTATACTTCTGACCCTTTTTTATTTTTAGAGTTACGGATGCAAAATGCAGACATACTGAGGAGTCAAGATCAGTAGAAAAGGTTGTTAAAGTCGCTTGACGATCAAATCAAAAAAAAAAACGTAATTCGCAGCACTATATTGCTACAAAAAATCTGCAGTCTTTTGTGCTCAAAAGACGGGACCATGACAACCACGATGACCGCGGAGGGCGATTGAAGCAGCTGCCCATTGGTTGAAACCCATTAGTGTCTCTCTTCAATCTCTATCAATCTTAGCCCAGAGGCAAGTACAAGCGATGTTCTCAGACAATCAGAGAAAAGTTCACGTATAAAAACAGCAGTTCCATTCGACATTTCTCATGGGTTTTCCCATTTACTTCTACTCGTCGTTGAAAGTGCTTGTACAACGTAGCAACCTGTAGACAAATCGACTTACTTAGCATCAGGGCTTTTGGCACCATATTGTTTTTCCAATGCCGCGATCAGCTGAGTCCTTGTTTCTTTATCTGTGACCGCTGTTTTGGCAACGCTTCTTACAAATGGGTTTTTAGCCGCCGCCACAGCTGCCTGGCGCACTTCCGGTTTCTTAGCAGCTTCGAAGAAAGCCTTCGCTGCTGACACCGAAAAGGCGGTATCTGAAAAGTGTCACTATAGGAGAGAGAACAAAACAGATGAAAATGCTGAAAGATAGGGTAAGAAAATCCAATCCTATTGGGAACATTATCCAAATCTTGGGTATAAAGCATTCATTCGAGGGAAATTAGTTCCGCTATGGTGCTAGAACAAAATGCCTTTAGAAAATAGGTCTGTGGAGCATGTAACTTTAACTTAAACCAGAGTTCATGACGACAGTCGAATGGGTTATTCACAGGTTCTTATCAAATTTTAAAACTTAATTTTTATCGCTTTCAAACTTATGAAGTACAAGATCAGTTGCTTATAAAAAAGGATGCGATAACCCGTCTACGTAGGAGCCTTTTCTATTAAAAACAAACGATCATAGATTATTAGAAGATCGATTACTACAAAATTAGTTTGCGAGTATAGTAATGAAAAAACCTCTTGTTAAGCGCTAAGAACTAATGAGCAACCAATGAAATACATACTTTTCCTGATAAAATAAAAATTAGTTCCGAAAACGACAGAAAGCGTTCAGTTAGAGCGCTTACTGTCTCTAAATAAGTCGTTATCCCAAGATACACCTAGAGGTACCACTAAAGTTTGAATTAGGCATGCTTTAAAATGTACAGCGCACATCCGAAATGAGTGGTATGTCACGCCCGGAGTGGGCGGAGCGTGCGCTTGGGTAATGGACAACTAAACAGGAATCTGCAATTTAACCCTTAAATCTAAGGGCGCAACATTTCCGTAAGGCGTAAAATATAGACTTTCTCACACTAAGACAATTGGAACCCAACCTTTAGTTGTTCCTACCGACCACCACTTCCTCATCTATTTGTTTTAGAACTTATCGGAAAGGGGCCGTGCTTGACAGCTGGTTGGAACATTATGTGCGTTTTAAATAAAAAAGCAACATGCTACATGTGTGTATGTGTAATAAAAAAAAGTAATAACTATGTGGTGGACATAATCAACGCAAAGAATGTAAAAACATGAAGTAAACGTGGATAAAACGAAAGCGAAACTATATTAATGGAAATGAAAACTAACCAGATTTCGGCATTTTGATCTCACATCGAATTCTATCAATCAATTATCGATCCGGGTGGATCGAAAATGGTCATTACCCATGGAAGGAACTGGTGCGTGACGACACCACCTGGGTTGATGCAAAGGGGCGGGGCATGGCGCAAAATCGATTTCTTCACCCTCCGCAAGTCTCGTGCTATTACGTCAGTTCCCTAGCCATTTCCTTCGAACTCCCAAAACATGCGAATGTTTCTGATAAAAATGGGGTTCGCGGGTGATCCAGCTCATCATTGATCGATCGAGTATCGATTGATCAGACGGTGAGTGCGCTAATTGCTGTGTATTGGAAGGCTAATCATTTGGAAATTTGCAAAGGGCACTGGATTAAGGGGACCGCGTAGTGTTGATTCTGACTACTCGGATGATTATTATTAGGATTTTGCTGGGTTATTATCCCAAACCTAATTAATGGAAAT